ATGGTGCTGGAGTCCGCGCTGGCCACGCTTCTGGCCGTGGTGGCGCGGCTCGGGCCGGAGAGGACGCGCGGGCCAGTGGACACAGTGCTGCTGCAGACCCAAGTGCAGGAGAGCTTTGGATCTCTACGGCGCTGCTACGCCCAGAGCGGAGGGCCGCACCCCCGCCAGGCCACCTTCCAGGGCCTCTTTCTGCTCTATAACTTGGGTGAGTCGGGTCCTTGCAGTGTGGGATGGGGAGCCCACCATGAGGACAGAGGAGGCAGAGGAAGGAAAAAACTTTAAAATCTCATTATTCCCCCGGGTGTGTAGTATACGTCTGTAATTCCACCATTCCAGGAGGCTGAGGCCGGAGGATCTCCTATTCAAGCCCAGCACAGGCAATTTAGTGACTTGGCAAGATCCTGCCTCAAGTAAGGGACTGGGGATGTAGCACAATGTGAAGGCTATGGGTTCAATCCCCAGTACCGAAACAAAACAGAGCCTGGTGATGTTGCTCAGCAACACAACAAAAAGGAAAGAAAAGAAAAATACCATTTGCTCCCCCGCAAGAAAGTTAGTGCCCAAGAGCCAGCAGCTCCCACGTGAGACCTCTGGCCTCCCCTTTCCCAATTCTAGGCTTGTTTTTCTTAATAAAAATGGAGGGGTAAGGTAGGAAAATTGGCCTAAATAGCGATTTCAAACTTTGCTAATTTGTTTGAGACAGGGTCTCACATAGATCAAGCTGGCCCTGAACTTGCTATGTAGCCCGGGCTGGCCTTGAAATCACCACCACATCTAGCTAGTAAATTCTGTTTAATTGTCATGAAATTCTGATTTCACAGTTCACTATTGGATCAAAAGCCGCAGTTTATAAAAGTGGCCCAAGGTTACAGTGATTTCTTGGAAAAGAACCCTAGTCTCTTCCAAGAAGCGGCCTTCCCTAGCAGACAGGGGAAGGTGTGGCAGAGCCAGCTCCCAAACTGGCAGCCAGAGCCGTAGGAAACTCAAGACCCCGGCATCCTCAAGCCAGCTTTCCCACCCTCGCAGGCTCTACAGAAGCCCTGTGTGAGGTCCTACAGCTGCCTGCCGCCCTGCGTGCCTCCCCAGCCCTGCGCTTGGCCCTCGCTGTGGATTCCGCCTTCAGGGAGGGCAACACTGCCCGCCTGTTCCGCCTGCTCCAGACCCTGCCCTACCTGCAGAGCTGCGCAGTGCAGGGCCATGTGGGCCATGCCCGCCGCCTTGCCCTGGCCCGCCTCGCTTGTGCCCTCAGCACTCCTAAGGGGCAGGTGTTGCCTCTGGGCTTCATGGTCCATCTGCTGGCCCTGGATGGTCTCCACGAAGCGCGAGAGCTGTGCCGGGCCCATGGGCTGCCCTTGGAAGGAGAGGAGAGGGTTGTGTTCTTGAGGGGCCGCTATGCTGAGGAAGGGCTGCCACCTGCTGGGACCTGCCATGTGTTAGTGGGGAGCAAGCTCCAAGGGCGCACCTTGGAGGAGGTGGTCATGACTGAGGAGGAAGATGAGGTGGTGCACAGACCAGTGTCCCCCACGTCTGGAGGATGTATCTTGCCCAGAGGACTGGGTCAAAGCAATTAGGGTTCAGTTTTCATGATTCCCAGTCAATAAAACGAACTTGTTTTACAGGGACTGATCAGACTTTATTTAGTTGGGCTGCATAGAGGGGCAAAGGCAGACTTGACAAGGTCCTGTCCACCCTGGGCCTGTTTCCGTGCTGGAGCCTCTGAGGGCTAGACTTGGTGGTCTCTGAGTTGGCATCTAGGGCTAGCATATGCATCCTATCTTACACACCCAGCATCGTGAGCAGTCTTTCCATTCCCCAACACCCATCTGTTTACCCGGCCCACAAAGAGCAAAACTCATCAGGAGCTGGGTTCTCCTCTCAGGTGTCTGCAGCTGGTGCCTCAGAAGCTGAAAGGATCCCATGGTTATGTTCTGGGAAAGCACCCCATGAAAACAAGTGGGTCAGGGTTAGAACAAAAGGGTGGAGTCAGAGGTCATCCACAGGCCTCAGAGTGGCTGCTGCACCCTCCAGGGCTGCTACCACAATGCTGAGCTGCCTGTGCACCTCAGCCCATTCTTCAGATCCATGGTCAGTGTTGTTGGCCTTGGAGCAGGCATTAGCCAGGCCAGGGAATGTGGCAACAGAGCCTCTCCGGGGTGCCCAGAGCACGTGGCTGATGAGAAAAAGGGCAGGATGAGGGTCAGGATGTAGTCAGCCTGGGACTCACTCAGCTGCCATGCCTATCTGCCATGCTGAGGAAGTGCTTTCCACCTGTCTCAGACAGTGGGGCTTACAGCAGTGGTTCTGGGAGGACAGGTAGGCTATTGTTCCAACTGTGACCAGTGTGCCACCCCTCCCTGAGCTTTGCTTTAACTGTCTCAGTAGCTGGATTGGGCTCTAAAGCAGCATATCTGACATCCTCCTCCTCAGGCATGTGGCCATCATCCAGCCCCACCTCAGGAGCTTTGTAACAAGCTCACCTGTAGTAGCGTTCTTCGGGGAAGGCTCGTGGGTTGAGGAATGTCCGTTCCAAAAGCATCAGCTGGTCATTGACCATCCGGACCTGCAGCGGGCTGGGGGAGGCAGGACCTACTAGTCACCCAGCAGCCTGTGGCACGGGGCTGTGCCCTCCCTGACACCTGCCCACTCCTATTGCTTACTCAGGGCTGCCCTTCTGCAGGTCTGATATGCGCTGGCCCAAGGCTGTGGCTGCTGCCTCAAACTTCTCCACTGCAGTCACCAGAGGCCCTGAGAGGAACACCCGCGCACTGGCTTAGCCCTGGGGATTGGGGCTCCCCAGGCCTTTATGTGTATGTGGGGGAGGGGGTCGTACCCAGGCTGATGCCGTGCTGCTCCAGGAGGTCCCTGAGGTCTTGCTGGGCAGCCTGTAGGAAGCCGTGGAGGGTTTCACTGTAGTCACTGACTTTGAGGGGCAGGAAGAAGCTGTCACTGAGCCGAAGAAGCACACTTCCTGCCATCCGGGCTACGGCTTGGTGGCTACTGAAGTCTGCCGGAGGACAAAAAGGCCAGGACTAGGTCTGCGGCCCATCTTCCTTGGGCAGTCTCAGAATGGCCCTTGCCTCCTCCTCACCAGGGTCTACAAACTTCTCCACATATTCGAAGGTGTCAAAGGCTGTGTGGTAGGTGGGGTAGATCCGGGCCGATGTCTTACTCTGAGGGAATAAAGCACAGAGGTGGTAAACTTGGGGCAGGAAGTGGAAGGTGTGCCCACAGTGTATAGACATCGACTCACTGAGTCCTTGGCTCATCCACCGGGGGTTTCTAGAAATCCCTCTTAAAGAGGAGGAAACAGGCTCAGGTTAGCCTGCCAGGTGTCACATAGCTAAGAGGTAGAGCTGGGTTGAGTTCCTTTTCATAGGAAAAAGAAGCTGACATTTTGGAGTCAGGGAGACTTTAATCCCAGCTCCACGACCAAGAAACAGAATGACCACAAGGGGGAGAAGGGGCTTGGGGGAGCATCAAATAGGGTCACCAGCTGGGCACATGATGCCTCATCTCATTACACCCCATTTAGTTCAGTGGTGCCACAGCCTGCCTCGCACGCATAAGTTCCTCAGTTCATTCCCCAGTACCAAAAAAAAAAAAAAGAAAAAAGATCTTAGTGTTTCTTATAGCTGGTATCATCCCACAACTAGTTGGCAGCAGGTTCCCACAGTTCATTCCCCAAAACAAAAAAAAAAAAAAAAGAAAAAAGATCTTAGTGTTTCTTATAGCTGGTATCATCCCACAACTAGTTGGCAGCAGGTGTTTTTCTTCCTAAATAATGCATGACACGCTAATACATGTTACAATCAGTATGTGATAAAGTAACGGAAGAGTGTAAACACATGGTCAGAGAGGTTCAGAAACTTGGCCTAGTTATCACAGCAACTGAGTCGGAAGTAGATCCCAATCAGTACTAGAGCAGCAGGGTTGGAGGGGGCTGAGCGGGGTACTCGAGGTACCCCGACTGCGCACCCGGTCGTAGGTGTAGGCGATGTCCATGGAAGAGATGCCCAGGTAGTGAATGAAGGGCGCGTAGTCGCTGCCAGCACCCAGTGTGCCCATACTGCAGAAAGGAAAGGAAGGGGGCGGTGTTGCAGGGTACAAGGCGGACTGACCTGGCTGGGGGCGGAGAATGTTTGGACCCTGGTTTTACCTGGGTATCCAGCCATATACTGGGCTGCTGCGGTTGGTGTACCGGATCCAGTTGTCATAGATACTGAGACCACTGGGGCCCGGGGACCTGATCTGGCTCAGAAAAGAATCTGATATCTGGGCTGGACCCTCTCCAACCCCAGCGGCAAGTCGAAACCTCCGGGTCTCACCTGGGACTCCAGGCTCCAGACCCTCTACTGTCTGCAGTTCTCGCAAGGCGGCCCGGCCCCGCCCACCAATATGACCCCGCCCACTCACCATCAGCCCCGCCCGCCCATGTAGCCTCGCTCAGCCCCATTGCACCTCTTTGGCTGCAGAGAAAATAACGCTCTGGACAGGGGGCGTCCCCTGCCCCCTAAGGGTAGCACTGGCTGTGGGAGGAACAGAGAAAGAGAAAGACTATGGAACCCCAGCTCCTTCCTTTGCTATCCCCTCAAGGGCTACGCTGCCCGGCATCCGCCCCCTACCGAACACAGAGATGTCCACGTTGATGTAAGCCACCGTGCGCTCCTGCAGCTTGCTGAAGAACTCCTGCGGCCGGGACAGGAACGCCTCAGTTCGGCGCTGCCCTTCCCGGAACCCCCTTTCCACCCCCGACCCTGTGGGACTCACCTCTGTGAATTCGGTGGAGCCAATGAGCCCAAACTCCTCTGCTCCCCAACTGGCTAACACGATCGATCTGCGGGGACGCCAGGTGCCTGGCGCAAAGGCACAAGGGCTTGGAGGGCAGCGTCCTCCCTCCATCCTGAGGTGGTGTAGGGGCAAGGTTGGGGACGTGGGGAGGTGGGGAAAGCTGGGAAGAGTGGAGTAGCGGTGACAGGAGGGCCCGGCACCCCTCATCCAGTCCTTCCTGGAGACTGTCATCTTCCCAGCCGCCTCTCTGGGACAGACACCCCAACACCTGACTACCTGGGTCAGGGGTCCCTTCTGCCATCCCCCGCCCCTGCACGTGGGCACGCACCAGGCATGATTTGGGGAGACTTCCCGACCGTCCGCTCTCCCTGCACACAACCCACACGACTTTGGCTGATGATACACAATGTTCCCCCAAAGCCTATAAGCCCCGATTCAATCCTTGCAATAATATGCTTCTATTTCACAGTTGAAGAAACTGAGCCACAGAGTCTTAGCTGGTAGGCAGCACAGCTGGCACCGTACTGCTCCCCACAGCATCCTGCACCTTGTGCCACCTGCAGTCTCCGTGCCCACACTGCCCTTGCCCTGACTCCCAGGCCCCTCCCCAAGACTGCAGGCGCCTCACTTTCGACTCACCTTTTTGTTATATATGAAAAATTTTTGAAGTATAACATGATATACCTGTTTGCAATTATAGATCCCCACTTTTTTTTTGGCCAAAAATTCAAATCTAATCAGAAAAATGGAGGATCATAAGTCAAAATACCTGGATTGTGAAAGACAAAGAATAGCTAAGGAACTACTGCAGATGAAAGAAGGCAAGTGATCACTGTGTGATCCCCCAGTGGATCTTGGGCCAGAAGATTCTTTTGCTATAAAGGTCATTATTGGGACAAGTGACAAAAATCATCAATTTTCTGATTCTGATCATCTTACTATAGTTATAAAAAAGAAAAATACCTTTGTGTGTGTGTGTGTGTGTGTGTGTGTGTGTGTGTGTGTTACCAGGGATTGAACCCAGGATCTTCATACTGAGCTACATCACCAGCTGTTTTTTGTTTTTTTATTTTGAGGTATGGGCTCACCAAGTTACTCAGGCTGGGCTTGAGCTTTTGATCCTCCTGCCTCACCCTCCCAGAGTACTAGGATTACAGGCCTGCACCACCATGCCCAGCAAGAATGTCCTTGTTAGGAAATATACACCGATGTGATTATGGATAAAAGTTCAACACTTCTACATCTTTTAAATACTTCAGAAAAATATAGATAGCAAACATATTGAAGCTTCAGTCATTGGGAGTGTTGAGATGAAGGGCATACAAAGCTCATTTGTTTGTTTGTTTGTTTGGTACTGGGCTCCTTTGTACTATTTTTGCAGTTAAGTCCAAAGTATTTCAAAATAAAACACCTGAACAAACAAAAAGATAGCCAGATGTGGTGCACACCTGTAATCCCAGCTACTGGAAAGCTGAGACAGGAAGAGCAGAGGCCAGCCTGGGCAACTTAGCAACCCCGGTCTCAAAATAAAACATTTAAAAAGGGGTTGGGATGTAACTCAGTGGCAGAGCACTTGCCTAACCAGCACAAGGCTCTGGGTTCTAACTCCAGTATTACAAAATAATAAAAATAGGGCCAGGCATGGTGGTGCACACCTGTTATCCCAGCATTCTGCAGGCTAAGGCTGGAGGATTGCCATGAGTTCAAGGCCAGCCTGAACTAAAAAGTGAGACCCTGTCTCAAAAAACAAACAAATAATGTAATTCCTGACATCAGTAACAAAGTGGAGGGGACGGAGCTTGCTGGGTGTGAGGTTCTGTGTGCAGCTGAAATTGAATCTGTGCTGCTTTCCATCCAAGGTCAGCCCTTCAGGATGTGTGTTGGGGGGGGCGGTGAAACGGATCTGGAGACAGAGGATGGTGCAGTGGCTGCCCAAATTGTGGGTGTTATTAATGCTGCTGAACTGAACACTTAAAGGTGGAAAGTTGTAAATGTGGTAAATTTTGTTACGTACATTTTGACACGATTTTTAAAACGAGGAAAAGAGATAAACTAGTGAAGAGTGGAATTCTCATCTTCTCTCTAGATCTGCCCTCGAGCCCTGTTTTCCCCAGAGCCTGGCCGAAGCGCCCTGTGCCTGCCTCCCGAGGAGGACGAGGTCCTCAGGCTGGTCCCTATGCACAGACCCTCCCTAGTGGGGCACCTTCCCTCTGCTGCTGTCCCGATTCTAACCATTCCCCAGCTTCCCGCCAGGACCAAACTCCATACTCCCTAGCCGGGTTCTTCCATCACTGGGACCTGGCCCTGCCCACTCGGCCCCCTTGTCCAGTCCTGCCAGCCTCATCCCCAGCTGCTGCCTCTCTGCCTGCCCTCCCTGTGGGGCTCAAGCTAAAGGGAGACCTTCCCCTAGATGGCCTGGCACGTGGCAGGAAGAGCCTGGGCACTGCCCAGTCACAGTGGCACGGGGCCTAGCTCCATCTGGGGACATTGTTGCCTGCATCCATGATCAGTCCTTTCCTCGAGCTACTCTGGACTCCTGGGGCCAGGGTTGGTGGCCCATGCAGCTCTCTGTCCCCAGGATCCTTGGGCCTGACACAGGTGGGTGCTGGAGTTGGGCTGGGATGTCACCAGCTCAGGAAGCAGTGGGCTGATGGGGACCCAGGGCACAGAGCCCCTGGATCAGAGAGGGGGCTATCTCACCCTTCTTCAGCAGGGTCCCCAGGACACGGGATAGCTCCAGGAGGACAGCGGTGCCACTGCTGGGGTCCACGGCCCCGTGTACCCAGCTGTCACGGTGGTTTCCATACACCACATAGCGATCTGGCAGAAGGGACAGAGTCAATAGAAGGAGAGGGGTGGGTGGGGTTGGCCAGGTGGGGGTGTGGCCAGGGAAGGGCCCACTGAGGCAGAAGAGGGAGTGGCCGGGCACTCAGGCTGGCCGGGTCCTCAGGCACAGTGCATGTATAGAGAGCTCACCAGGCTCCACGGCCCCGCGGATGATGCCCAGGACATTTGAGGAGTTTCTTAGCTCCAGGTGGTTGTGGACACTCACTTTCACCTGGCTGGGAAAACGAGAGTCTTCACCTATCCTGTCCTCCTACTCAGAGCAGGAGAAACAGGCCCAGAAGTGCAGGAGACATAGTCACTTTCCCAGAAGACCAAGACAGCAAGGCTGGAGCGTTCACCCACTCAGTCGGTACACAAGAGGCACCGCCCAGAGGCCTGGCTGCTTACGAAACGGCAGTGACTGAGACAGATGGGGACCCGTGGAGCCTCCCTCTCCTAAACCGGGCAGACCACAGGGAGTGAAGGGCCCGGAGGCCAGGGACACTGCAGGTGCGGGGCTGACACCAGGCAGGAGTGGCAGAGGCTGATGGGAGTCACGAGGGAGGGGAAAAGTGGAGCTGAGTGGGCCGGGCAGGTGAAACACTGGGTTTCTTGAGACACTGCTGGTGGGCCATGTAGCCATTTTCTCGGCTTCCCCCAAAGGCGAGAGAGATTCGGGGATGGAGGGTTAGGGAAGAGAAGGAGGGGAGAGGCCAGACCTTGGGGTGGGAAGAGGCAAACACAGGAAGGAGAAAAGTAACAAGGAAGAGGACAGCTGGGGAGAGCGGGGCCTCCTCACCTGTCCTCGGTGAAGTCTCCGCCAGACTTGAAGCCAGGGCCCAGACGGTACTCACAGTGCAGTGCACCCTTCCAGGACGCTGGGGCCGCTGGCCCTTGGAGGTTGCTGCGGGGAAAGAGGCCCTGGGTGAATGCGTGGCTGGCGCGGGTAGGCCGCGCGTGGGCGAGGGCCCTGACAGGCTCACCAGAGCAGGCCTTCGGCGTCCTGGAAGCCGATAGGCTGAGCGGGGATCGGGGGAAACCCGGAGGCGTTGTTGCTGTCCAGGCGAAAGGAAGAGGGGTGTGCTGGAAGGTAGGGAGTCACAGGGTCCCCAAAGTATTCATAGTAGGAGCCCCGCTCCACACCAGAGGGAGGCAGGCCCCACGAGTAAGGGAAGGTCTCGTTGGGGAAGCTGTGGCCATCATTGATGTCACCGGGGTCCGTGTACACCAGCACGCCGACCACCCCATGCTTGGCAGCGTTCACAGCCTGCAGGAGGCAGAAAAGGCTGTGTGTCAGGAGGGACGGGGCCAGGCGTGTCCCGTTTCTTTTCCACCCTCCTCCACTATGGACTGGAGTGGGTCTTGACACTGATGGCTGTGCTACTTGCAACAGCAAAGGACTACTGGACACGGCCAAGTCAATGCCGGCCGACCTGGTCAGATAAACAGGGACTGTCTGGGATGGAGTATTACGCAGCTGTCTAAAAGAACAAGGGATACTGTGCACCCAAGTTCATAGCGGCATTATTCCAATAACCAAAGGCAGAAGCACACCAAGTTTCCATCAAGGAACCGCTGGGTAAGCAAAATAAAGTATATTACATACATTTCCCATGTTAAAGAAACATTATTCCACATTTTAAAAGAATCAAGTTTCGGGCGGAGGCTATAACTCAGTGATAGAGCACATGTCCAGTTTGTGGCAAGCCCCCGGGTGGGGTTTGATCCCTGGCACCAACAGCAAAAATGCAAAACAGTGCCCCAAAAGGCAAAGCCTTCTTTCCTGTTTTTTCCTTCCCTTTCTTCCATCCCTTCCTTTCCTTTCCCAGCTCTGACCCCAGACACTTCTCAAAGAACTTGTGGTAAAAATACAGGAAACGCCCTCAGCCTGGTGAAGGTTCAGCCCCGTGCTGCACACATTCCCACGGCTGTGCCATCACGGCCTCAAGCTCCGGAACCCCTTTCACCTTACAGACCCGAAGGCTTGGACCTATTAAATCTTACTCCTCATTCCACACTTTGTTTTTTTCCAATATGGGAGATAGAACCCATGGCCTCCACACTGACTTACATCCCCAGCCCTTTTATTTTTAATTCTCACTAGGTCATTAAGTTGCCCAGGCCTGGCTTGAACTTGTGGCCCTCCTGCTCGAGCCTCCCAGAGTGCTAGGGTTACAGTCCTGGACTATTCCATCGTCCTATACCTTTTTATATATAAAGGATTTCCAAAGTTTTCTAAGCCATAGATATATAATGCCTAGTCGCAAAAGTGCTTAAAATGAAATGGCAAGGGTTTGGGCATAGCTCAGTGGTAGAGCTCATGCTTAGCATGTGTAAGGCCCCGGATTCCATCCTCAGCACTAAAAATAAGAAAAAATTCTGGGCATGTGTTACATGCCTATGATTCCAGTACTTGGAAGGCCGAGGCAGGAGGATCACCACCAGCCTGGGCTGGTGAATTCAAGGCCAGTCTGAACTACATAGTAGTGAGACACTGTCTAAAAAAAAAAAGGAAAGGAAAGGAAGGAAAAAGAATTGTTTCACAGGAGGGCTTGGACTCCCAGAATAACCAAGCTGAACTTCTGCACCATGCCCTTTCCTGCCTGGGCCTCGGAGGTTGGGGAGGCAGCCAGGCCACACAGCCCATGAGTGCGCAGGGAACACAGTTCACCTCTGCCCTCCCACACAGTGGCCCTGCTCACCTTGGCCCCCCGCCCTGCCACCCCATAGCGAGTCAGGGCGATGGTGCCTTCGAGGTTGATGCCCTGGTTCAGGAGGTACTGGAAGTCGTCTTCTGTGCCGTGGTTGGCATAGATGAGGAGGCCCTGTGCCCAAGAGGAGGGATCCTTAGAACTCAGCCCAGCCAGGGCACGTGGGGAGTGGGGCTGGGAGGCTGGTAGCAGGAGGAAGAGTCTAGGTTCTGTCTCTCCATCTCAACCAGAGATGGACGCAAGGACAGTCACTTTGGTTTCCTCTGTGTCCGATGTCCTATATCAGCCCTGGCTTAGCCTTGAGCAGGGACCACTAGCGTTTTTTGTGTGACTAACACTCACTGAACATGGAGGAGCGGAGGGGGACAGAGTGTGAAGGTGACTGATTTCAGTGGAGGGCCGATGAGCCCCATTTGAGCACTTTTCCTCGGATGCCCTGGGGTTGGGCAAGGAGACGCTGTGCGGGAACTAGGGGCATCCAGGCCATGGTGAGGGGGCTCCAGGCTCACCTGTGGGGTTCCAGAGGGTGCGTAGGCAGCATAGGGTTGCACCACATCAGACCCCCCCTGCTCCCCTGTCACATTCTCCTCTTTCGGGAGGTAGGCGTGGAGAACAGCCCCATTAGGAACCACTGTGGAGAGGCAAAGTCAGGGCCAGCCGGGCAGCTCCCCTCACCCCCCGGATTTCCCACGCCAGGCAAGGCCTCACCAACTTCGACGAGGTTGGGCCGCTCTGGGCTGGGGAAGGACAGCAGCACCTCATACTCCACAGTCCTGGCCTCGTCCAGCCCTGATGCTTGGTCACCCCAGCGCTGAAGCAGCAGCTGCACCAGGGCCTCATCTCTTGGGCTGGAGGCCACATGGGGCTGCCGGGAGAGCTCTCTGCGGGGTGGCAGAGGGAGGGCAGCCGCATCAGCGAAGGGCTGCTGGGCGACAAGAGGAGTGGGCAGACCTGCTGCTCACCGAAGGTTCTCCCGGATCTTGCCAGCGTCCAGCTGTTTCATGACAGCCTCAAGGATCTCCAGGTCCAGGTCCTGGGGGACTGGCCGCTCAACCCCTTTGGGGATGGCAAAGTGGCCCAGGATGATCCCCAGCCCCAAGAGGGCAGCTGCCCCCACCCCTAGCCCTACCACCTTCACCCACGACATGCTGGGGAGCTGGGGCCGGCAGGGAGCCTGTTTGGAGACTCCTTATAGATGGGGTGTTGTGGCCAAGTTAACCATTATCCCTCGGGTGGTGCTGCCCTTTGGCCCCCAGATGGCAGGAAGAGAGTGCCTGAGACAGAGCCAGGAGCTGTCACATGGAACACATTTTCATCTTTCCCCTAGAATGGGGCCCTAGAGGGCACCGAGACAATGTGGGGACCCCAAGGCCCGGAAAAGGAACAGCCTCATCCAGATTCTCCCCATAAAACATACACCAAGCCATATGCCTATTGACTACCACTACTACCTATGCCACCCCGAGTCCCCTCTCACCTTCCTTCCTTCCTTCTTCTACCCATCTCTCTTTTTCTGAGACAGGGCCTCACTATGTAGCTCAGGCTGACCTTGGACTCGTGATGATCCTCCCGCCTTAGTGGTGAGGCCCACGGTTCCTCTATCGCTGCTTGACAAAGTTCCGACAGTGATGGGCCTTGGGTTGAGAGCATCGCTCCGGCTTTTATTTTTGCTTGCACTTTTGATTGGCTTGATTGTAATTACGGGAAATTTGGTTTTAATGCAAAAACCTGTGCAAGCTATTTCTGAGAAATGTGTCAGTTGTGTCCATCACTGAACCCCTAAGCGTGACCCCTGATCCCGGGACTTTCTTTGAAGGGGTTTCCAGTTTTTCAGTAATTGAAGATTTCACTCCGACAAGAGCCCCCAAGTTTTCTTCCGAGCATCCAATTACTTATAAAAATCCCAGAGAGGTGCTCAAAGATTTGTGGTAGAGTGATCTCATGGCCACTAGGCAACCCCCCGTTTCCTACACTGGGGCTTACATAGATGAAGTTAGAATGGTGTGGAAAGGTAAAACATGAGTAAGACATCAAGATTTGCCCTTTGCAGAAAGAGTGAAATGTTCAGGAACAGTGATGACTACGCACTAAAGAACAAGTAAATACTATTGCCAGGCAGCGGAATCGTTATTATAGAAGGGCCTAGTAAGTACAAAATACTTGCTTTCTGACTACGTAAAATAAAAGTTTAGCCAAGAAGTTGAATAACCACAGCAGTTCTTTATCAAAACCTAGTGACCTGCTAAGAGTTGGCCGCAGTCTTTCCACTGTAGCCGAAACAGACGTATGAACTTTGAAAAATGGTGGCAATCTTGGATTGTTCTTTTGATTTTGCTTTCACTAGGAAATTGTTTGATTAATAATAGCTGAGGAGCTGAGGCAATAGATAAAATGTTCCCAGAAATAATACTAAAATAGGTATGTGCTGTAGTTTACTGGAAAAACAATCTTAAAAGTTTTTACCTAGAAATTGTAAACATATGCTAATTTCCGTACGTAACCTTTACTATAATATAAAGAAGTCCTACAAAAAAAAGTCCTCCACCGTTCGGAAGGCACACCACCTCACACCTGCAGAGTGTGTCTCATCCCTTCACAAGCGCCGACTCCAGGCACCTCAGCCTCCTGAGTGCTGGGATTACAGGTGTGTGCCACCACACCCAGCCCCAGTGCCACTTTATCTCCAGCCCAGCCGGCCTTGCCTGGCTGAGCTGGTTTTATATTTGATTATCATTTTGCTTGACATAAAAGCTGTGTGTGACATTGCACAATTCTTCAAGCTTCTCTGAGTCTATTTTCTTAGCTGTAAATGGGGATACTGGGGTTGGGTGTGAGAGCACACACCTGTAATCCCAGCACTCAGGAGGCTGAGACAGGAGGATCGCTGTGAGTTTGAAGCCAGCCTGGGTGATGCAGTGAGTTCAAGGCCAGCCTGAACTACATAGCAAGATGCTGTCTGAAAATTTAAAAAAAATAAATAAAGGCCCGGCGTGATGGCACACCCTGTAATCCTAGCACTCAGGAGGCTGACACAGGAAGATTGCAGTGAGTTCGAGGCCAGCCTGGGCTACATTTTAAAAACGGGGATACTGGACCTCACTCACAAAGCTGTGGTACTATCTTCATGAAACAAGGTGGAATCAGTAGAAATATCTCGTTCAGTAGTATTTGGCCATGGGAGCTCAGTAACTTTTAGTCACTTCTCCCTTCCCTAAAACATAAAGGCTAGATAGAGCCAAACAAAGAGAGTGACCTGGAAGACTTCCCTGTTTATCCTGAAGGGTCCCAGCTTACACGAAGAGGTGAGGCTCTCGGAAAAGGAGGTGGTTCCAGAGCACGTAGCAGGAAGCCCAGACCTCCTTGGCAAGATGACTTCCTTCAACCTCTGGGCCTAGTGGAATCCAACCATGCACCCCTCCGCTCTCCCTCCTTCCCTCCAACTCATCCACGCATCCCTCCCTCCATCGCCATGCAGCCGTCTGCCCATCCACTCACCCTTCCCTCTGTTCATTTACCCACTCCTTACTTACACAGGCCAGCCCCTGGGGAAGCAAAGTCCAGCAGGAGCGACAGACAGGTTTGATGATTATCAGCCTCACAAAATGAGCCCCGACCTTATCAGAAGCCCATCAGCATGAGGAGCACACGCCCTCCTTATCAAGTCCCCACCAGGCAGGCAGCAGGCGGCCAAGGTCAGCCACAAGCTGAGAAACCGTGGCGGCAGCGGCACAAGGCCGCAGCTGCACCTCCTCCTTAGTCAAGACTGAGACCTTGGAACACAGGGAGTCACAGCACCCCTGGACAAGTGTGTGACATCTGGACGGGTGCAGCTGCACTGTGCCTGTCATGTGTCTGAGAATGTGTGTTGTCTATGTGAACACCATGATAAACCAGCGGGGGTTGTTGGAGTCAGCTGGCGTCCACACTGCTGTCAGACACAGACTTGGCCATTTTACTTCTCCGGGTTCAAGGTGGCACCATCCCTTGCTGGGCACTCTGGACCAGGTACTGGTGCAGAGTGCTTCAGGGAGCCGAGGCACAGGGACGCTTTTCCTCCTCCCCTCCCTCCTGCCACCACTGTGGTCCCAGAGCTTTCCAGTCCCCCAGGACCACTGCCATCACTGCTGTCCTTCCTACCTCGGGGAAAGCTGCACTGGTCCCTGAATGTGCCCTCGGTGTCCCGTGACGTCCCGTGAGGTCCGGATCAGGCTCGGGCGGGACCCCTTACTCTCCCACTGCCCTAGGGGACAATTTTACACCCTCTCCTCTCTTCTCAAACCCTGACACCTTCCCTCTCTCCAGCCCACTCAGCCCACCCAAGCTTCCTGTGATGCCGAGAAGAACAGGGCCAGTTGGAGGGCAGCCGCCAGCCTCGCCCACGTCTTTGGCCTTCTCTCCTAGTGCGGTGGTCAAATGGTCTTCACCCTCAGGCCAGCTCTACCCTGACATTGGAGCCCAGCCCCTTCATGACCCCAAACCTGGCCCTGGCTCGTCTCCCAACTTACTCCTATTCCTCCACTTTTTTCTTTAGTAGACCATCTCCACACACCCAGAACATCCATGTATAGCATTTAATGCCACTTTTTAGAAAGTATTTTTGGTTTTTTTTTTTTTTGAGACTGGGTCTCACTATGTACTTGAGGCAGATCTGAAACTATGTAGCCCAGGCTGGTCTCGAACTCATGGTGATTGTCCTGCCTCAGCCTCCTGAGTGCTGGGATTACAGGTGTGTGCCACCACACCTGACATCTTTTTTTTTTTTTTCAAAGTATTTTAAAAGCTTGGTGTGGTGGAGCATGCCTCTAACCCTAACTACTCAGGAGGCTGAGGCAGGAGGATAACAAGTTCAAGACCCTCCTAAGCAACTTAGTGAGATTGTCTCAAAATAAATTTTAAAAATGGCTAGGGCTGGGGATTTAGCTCAGTGATTCTACTGCCTGCCTTGCAAGCGCAAGGTCCCAAGTTCAATCCCTGGTACCAAAAAAAAAAAAGACTGGCTGGCTTTGGTGTCACACGCCTGTAATCCTAGCACTTGGAAGGCTGAGGCAGGAGGATCACTGCAAGCTTGAGGCCAGCCTGGGTAATGTAGTGAGTTCAAGGAGTTAAAGGACAACTGAACTATATAGTGAGATTCTGTCTCCAAAAAACAAACAAATAAATAAGTAAGCAAATAAGGTTGTGTCAGTACTCTGAGAGGGTGCGGGAGTAGGATTCCAAGTTTGATTCCAGCCTGGACAACTTAGCTATATAGTGAGAACTCACAAAATTTGAAAAAAATAATGGTTAGGGTTGTGACTCTGGTTCAATGGTTCCTACCATTATGAGGACCAAGTTTTTAGGTCGAGGTGGGCTCCCTCTGTGCCCCTTGCCCAGAACAGAGCTGCAAAAATTCCATTCTGTATAATTCCATTCTGTATGACAGTCTCCCTGTGTTTCTGTTCCTCTTTTTAGGCAGCTCTGTCTTAGGGCATCTCCATCCTGTTTCTGTTCCTCTTTTTATGATCTAAAGATGGATTCTTCCTGCTTTAATCGATGTTTTTTAAAAAGGAGGGTTGATGAAACTGATTTAGCCAACACTGGTACTAGTCACAGCTTACATAGGCAGCCACTGCTAATATAGGCCTTAGTCATTGCTTACATAGGTAGTCTTTGTTAATTATAGAATCTGTTTAATCAGATGTTCTTTAAAACGAGGAATTGATTCTGTGAATGTAGGTATTATTAATTTTCCAGTAAGTGCCCTCCCGGTGCCCCTCAAATATCCAATGGTAAGCGAGAGCTAAAAATAGGACCTGTAAAAAGGGAGAGTCTCCCTAACCCTATATAAACCCGCTTCAAAGGTGGATCTGGACTCTCGGTCTGAAGCCGCTGTGACGGTGACACCTGAGGGTCCAGGCTCGAGCTTGCAATAAACTCCTCTTGTAACTGTATCGGACCTGACTCCTTGGTGGTCTTTGGGGACTTGGCCACTTGGGCATAACACCATGTAGGAGGCCCTGGCCGAACCTCAGTACTGTGTGGAGGGGGACTCTCTTAATCCCATTGCTCCTCCCGTGACCCCCATCCTCCTGTTCCCTTTTTGTCCTTGGAAGTCTTGGCTGGTCCACAGTTCCTCCTTTCTCATTCTCTGGAAACCTCTCTTATTCAGGCCCTACCCACAGCTCTACTACCCTTGAAAAGGTCAACTCTCTCTATGTTGCTGAATCCAGTGGTCTCCTTGGATGAGCTGGCAAAAACATGTGTCACAGCTGGTCACCTGGACCTCATCAAGCTTCTGGTCTCTTGGTTTCTAGGGCCTCAAAACCATCCACAGGCCCCTCCAGTTTCGTGGTTGGGAATCCTTTATCACCTGGCCTCTTACTGTCACAGTGACCCAGGGCAAAGGCCCTGTCTTCTCTCTTGACACCACATCAGTGGGTTTTAATACTGTGTTGGAGCCAGGCAGAGCACCCAACCAACCCACTTTGGAATTCCTAACCCATGGAAACTGGGAGATAATAAATGCTCACGATTTTAAACCTTCAGGTTTCTCACTGTGTAGCCCAGGCTGGCCTCGAACTCACAGAGATCCTCCTGCCTCAGCTTCCGGAGTGCTGGGATTATAGGCGTGCGCCACCACCCCTGGCGGTTTGGCATTAATTTGTTACACAACAATTGCTAACTAATACAAATGACCAAATATAGACTGAAAACCCACAGATTCATGTTCCCAATATGAAAATGTCCCGTGATCTCCGGTCTTGTCTTTCCATACGCCCACTTGGCATCCACAGCTGGGCAATCAAGAGGCATCTGACTCGTTCCTGATCTGTGTCCACAGCTCCCCACACATGCACGCTCCCTGAGGCTGCCCTCTGATGTATGGGAGCGCCGTCCTTCTAGTCCCTCACAGTGAAAATTGGGAGTTGTTTCATTCCTCTTTCTCCACACCTCCCTTCCAGACTATCAGTAAAATGTGTTACCTTGCATTTACAAGGCAGGCACAGTGCCACTACCTAAATCCCCAGCCCAGTATGATACTTTTTCAACAGATGGTCTTACCCTCACATGGGGGACCCTTGAGGATGTCATAGATTGCAGAAAACCCATGACACTGCCAGCCCTTACAGAAGAAATTGAAAACGCATAAGGAGGGCTAGGGATTTAGTTCGGTGGTTCAACCACCTGCCTCGAAAGCACAAGGTCTCATGTTCGATCTCTGATACCATAAAGAAAAAAAATAGAAAATGCATGTGGAGCAATCTTAGTGACCAAGGTCACCCAAGCAGCAGTTCATTGTACTAATAAATGTCTGGAAGCTCATGGCCATCCTTTTGAGCACCTCTTGTAATTGTAGAGGCCAAAGGTAACATGTTAATCTCATGATACATCAGTCTAGTATTAAAATATTTATACAAGTTTTTATTTTCCTGAAGTGTATGTACCAGACACTGTAGTCAGGGCTGGCCTTGAACTCATGGAGATCCTCCTGCCTCAGCCTCCTGAGCAATGGGATTGCAGGCATGTGTGACCATAACCAGCTCAGATCTTTTCTTGAATGTGGCTTCTCAAGGAGTTCTTCCCCACCACTTTTTTGGAACTGCACTCCTCCCGTCTCTAGGCCTTGCTCTACTCACTGCACAGATCCCCTCTGGCTGGTCCCTATTTCTTGTCTCCTCTTACAATGTCATTCACCCTCAGCAGGGGTCTCTGTTTCCTTCAGTGCTGGAGGATCAGAGCCCAGAACAGTGTGTGACGCACAGGAGGCACTCAGCAAGTATTTGTGGCTCCACCCCAGCTGTCTATCACCCAAGGAGTGTCTGGGACAATCACAGGAGATACAAAAGGTGGACTTGGAGGTTCCACTTGGGGAGGCCCTCAGGGCTGCTGAGCCAGCGTTGGTGGGGCATGTGTACCACAGGGGTACAGGTGCCCTCAGGAGACACGGATCTAACAGACCTCCGGAGCAGTGCTCCTGAGCTGCAGTCTGGCTGTCCTCTTGGGCAGGAAAAGCAGGACCGTTAGGTGGGGCAGAGAACCCCCTGGGAGCGCAAGTATGACAAGCTCAGGTCAGCGCCCGAGTGGACACAATGAATGCTAACAGCTCAGTTACACTCAATTATTCAGCCCTCCCAAGAGCCGCCAAGGTGTGCACTGAAGTCAACCCCAAGTTACAGAGGAAGCCCAGTCACTGGGCCAAGGCCATAAAAGGTCACACAGCTGGCAAGTGGCAGAGTTGTGACTCGAGTGCAGGGGGCAAGGCTTTAGCTCCTGTCCACCTATTCACAAAGCTGTCCCAGGTCTTGGTCACTAGGAGGACTGTGACATCCTGGTCTTTCCCTCCCAGGAGAGATGGTGCCAGAGGGGACAGAGCAGGCCAGGTTACTGATCCAGCCCCAAGACTCAAGGACTGGAAGGCCTGAGACCCGAGCCAACACTGATGCTCTCTTTGACTAGTGATCTGGGTAAAATGTGTGTGAATGAACAGGCCTGGTAAATCCCTGGAGTCCCCGCAACTTGGCTGTGAGACCTGCTCTTGGAGGGGAAGCTTGGCTGGCACTGCTTGACTACATCAACAGCAAAGGCTGCAAGGACCGCACTTGGGACAGCACAAGATGAGGCCCTGGGCTGCAAGGCTGAGCCCAGGATGCACTTGTGTGTTTGGAGCTAACTGGGCAGAGGACTCTGCAATGGACTCAGTTTTGAGCATCCACACAGCCTTGGTGCTTTCCCAGTCCCAGAGGCTTTTAGAGGACACAGGTCAAGGAGCCAAGCTGATGACCAGGAAGCTCTTACTTGGGAAAATGGATTTAACTATTGAGCTATGCGCCCAAATATCGCTTGTCCACTTCAGAATCAAACTGAACTCCTTTCAGGAAAATGGTGAGATGGCTGTCTGTGCTGCAGGGTCACACTGGTCAAGGACTGGCTGGGAAGGGTATGGGTGGAGGGGAGGCCTACGATCTCTGGAGCCATCAGGTAAGGATGATGCAGTGGGGTTGCTAGGTCAGACGTTAGCCCAGCTTGGCTTAGCCAGAAGCTGAGATGTAATCGAACTTCTGTGCACCCAGGGTGACATCAGCTGGCTGACCCCAGGAGTCTGTGCAAACCCAGCTCAGAGAAGGACCCACCAAGCTGAGTTTCCATCCTCCCAGCTGGTGTCTCCATGCAATGGGCACAAAACCCTTCCTGCGTCTCAGTAGAGGATAAACAGGGGCATTCTACTTGGTGGCCTTTTATAAGTGCTTAGGGTCTAGGCTTTGTAAACTTACAGAAAATTGATAAGATGAAGATGATTTCTGCCCAGCAAATAAATAATAGCATAGGGCCGGGGATTTAGCTCAGTGGTTCCTCCGCCTGCCTCACAAGTACAAGAACTTGAGTTTGATCTCCAGTACCAAAAAAAAAAGCATCCTTAAAATTATGGGATTTTTAAAAATTGCCCTGTAGTGCTGGGGGTGTGGCTCAGTGATAGGCTGCTTGCTCCAGGTTTGATCCTCTATACCACAAAAACAAACAAACAAACAAAGAAAAAACAGCATAGGGCCAGGGATTTAGCTCAATGGTTCCACCACCTGCCTTGCAAGAGCAAGGGCCAGACGGAGTTAGATCCCTGGTACCATAAAACAAAAAAAAAGCATAGTGCCACACCTCAGTCATCCCAGCACTGGGGAGGCTGGGGCAGGAGGATCACAGCAAGTTCGAGGCCAGCCTGGGCTACAAAGTGAGTTCAAACCCAGCCTGAACTATAGTGAGATCCTATCTCAAAAATTAAATCAAGTCAAGAATGGTGGCGCAGGCCTATACCCAGCCTGAACTATAGTGAGATCCTATCTCAAAAATTAAATCAAGTCAAGAATGGGCGCGCAGGCCTATAATCCCAGCACTTGGGATGCTGAGGCAGGAGGATCACTGTGAGTTCGAGACCAGCCTGGGCTACATAGTGAGTTCCAGGTCAGTCTCAACTACATAGTGAGGCCTTGTCTCAAACAACAAAACACAAAAACAAAAAATTAAATCAAATTAAAAATAAAAACAAAATTTAAAAAATGCCCTTTAGGTTTTAGTCAATTCCAATTTGTATCTAATTAAACAATTCTTTTCAGGGTTCCTTTATTTTATCCCCTGGATTTATATTCATGTCAACTTCTGAATTCTTTAAACTGGTTTTGTCATCTTGATGTTTCCCTCACTAAGTAGTTAAAAGGAAAAACAACAAAAGCCTTAAGTAGCTTCTTTGTCTAGTTGTGTAAGAATTGTTCTTCAGGTTTCTCAAAATCATGTCTCACCTCTCCACGCATGATCTCTCTTTTCTCTGTCTCCTCCCCTTTAGTAGTGAGGCTCCCCGGGGGCTGAACATGTCTTACTGGTGGCTAAGCAATGGGCACAGCCCTTCTACCTCCTTCCCTGAGTGCCTGAGCCTTGAAGCTTGAGGCCCAGAGGGTGTGACTCAGGCCCTGGGGAGCTCCCACTACCTCTCAGTCTGCACCCTATGACCTACAAAGAGGAAGAGAGGACTTAGCCAAGGTCACAATGGGTAGTGGCTCTTCCCACCCCTCCCCGATATCTTTGTGCACTTTGGAGTCAGAGCAGGCATCTTGGTCCCCCTGGGGAGGGTTGTGGCCGCCCCCTTCCTGCCCCACCTGGGGCTTATCACAGGAACAGAGCTCTGCAGTGAGCCTGAGGCCAAGGCCAAGGGTACAGGAGGCAGATCAGGGTAGCGGGGATGAGGGAGGTAGGGGTCAGGGGGTGGCCCAGACTGAGCTGCCTCAGAGCTGGTGGCTGCCTGCCCTCCACAGGCATCCCAGGCCCACAGACACTCGGTGGCGGCAGGTGAAGCTGCAGCTCAGCTGGGAAGTTTATTGTTAGGCTGATGGTGTGGCTTCCTGAGGAGGTGTCAGGTCTCTGGACTGAGGCCTGGCCAGGGCTGACTGGTTTCCATGTGCTTGGGGAAGATCGGGCAGCAGGAGGAGTGGTGCTGCCCTCTGGGAGTGGGGGCGCTGCAGGAAAAGGTGCAGGAGCTTGATCTTGAGGGGCTGGGTAGGAGGCCCCACATCCTGTCCTTTCCTGCTGCAGCTGCCCCAGTATCTGCCCAGCCAGGGCTTCCTCCTGAGTGTCCTTCACTTCCTCCTGCCAGCCTGCATTTCCTCCTTCAGCTTCTCATACAGGTAGCTGGGCTGGAACAAAGGGGCAGGGAGCTGGGCTGGGAAGCAGGGAGAGGGAGGCCGGGGTGGGCAGCCCAGGGCTGGGGTCTCACCAGGTTTCGCAGCTTCTCTCCCAGGGCCAGATTGTCTGCTTGGGTGTTGCTCAGTGCCTTCCGAAGCCTTAGGTTGAAGGAGACCCCTCTCAGCCCTGGGTGCTCGTCCAGGCCTGCTCTGCCCCTCCACCTGCCATCAGCTTTGTGACCTGGCACAGACACCTGGGACTGTGTTGCACTAAATGCCTAGTTCTTTGACACCACTGTTAGAGAAGAAACTGTCCTCCCTTGTGACTCGAAGCAAGGGCCCAGACCCATGAATCCCGTTTCTCCTCTTCAGCAGGGAAAGGGCAGGCTGCTCCATCACATAGGCCAGCCTACAAACCCGTGGAGGTCCCTTCGGAAAAGGATGCTACAGCCTTTAGGCTGTAGCAGGGCTGTGACAGGATTCTGTGTGGTTCCTGACTGGCGAGAAGGTGAACCCTGGAATCTGCTCTGCCCAAGAGCTTCACCAGGTGAGCTGCATGAATGGAGGCTCCCAACACTCGGGCCTGCCATAGTCCGGAGGAGACCTCTCCTGGTGCTTCCATTGCCAGAGGGGCACGTAGCCATGGACTTGTGCAGACCCAAGCCCCAGAGCCTGGGGTAGAGGATAGGCCCCTCCCCACGGACTCAACCACCTCTCCAGTTCTTGGACAACTAAGGGCAAGGGGTCCCGATGGGCAGCCGCTGGATTGCTGACCAGGCAGGCAATGAGCCAGGCCGCTCAGACCATCTACACAGTAGACTGAAAGGGAAGAGCCACGGCCATGGCTGTGACCCTCACATCTACAGGGCAGGACACTGCTGCTTGTCAGGAGAGGGGCCTGCTGGCAAGGAGGTCACCCAGGGAGGACAGAATAGGAAGGTAAGGGAGATGTCAGGACCTAAGAACCAGGCCTGGCTTGAGTGGCAGACATCCTACCACTCTGCAGGCCCCCGACGGCCCTGCCTCGCTCACCTCACGCAAACATTCTGCAAACGCTTCATCTCCTCTGAGGTCCGCTGTGGGCCCCAATCTTGCTGACTGAGGAACCGGCTCTCCTGGATCTCCAAATCCCCAGGCTGGTGGGTATCGAGGGCTGGACCACCCCCAGCCAGAGGCCCAGGCTCCTCAGTCCTGGCGCAGGTTTGAATGTTCCTGAGGGAAGTAGCGTCCTGCATGTCACAAACACACTCACGTGAACACACACACTCACATGAACACTCACACAAGACCTTACGATTCAGGGTTGCTGGGCTCCGGTGTGCTCAGGAGTGTAAACAGGAACATGAAGGTGGTTTCCGGCTTCGGGTCCGGCTTTTGCTCTGAACAAGGTGACTTTGTGGAAAAGGTGCGGTGGCAACTGAAGGGTCATGAGGCTGCTTGCCCAAGAGCCCAGGTTCCTCACCCTCCTGTCCATGCTGGCCCCCTAACCCCACCTTTTGTGTGTGTGTGTGTGCTACTAGGGATTGGACCTGGGCCTTTGTACTGAGCTACAACCCTAGCCCTTTTTATTTTCAGACAGGATCTTGCTAAGTGACTAAGTGGCCTAGGCTGGGCTCCAAATTGCAACCCCCCTAGCTCAGCCTCACACAGTGCTAGGATTACAAGTGTGTACCCCTACGCTGGCTACGTCTTTCTGCTTTTCAGGGATGGTCCTCGGTGTCCCCCCAGCCTGTAGATGGAAGTGGAGGCAGAAGTTATAAATGAGAGTGGTCCAGGAGACCCTCTAGCTGTGAAACCACCCTCTGCCTTGGCCCAGGAGCTGGCCCAGACTCCCCAGCAGCTAGAGATGCAGCAAGAGGGGCTGCAATGACAGGAGGTGAAGCAGAGCTTCTCCAGCCCCGCCCTGCCCCCACCTTGGGAGGTCCAAGGGTACCCTGTCACCTCCACGTTCAATTTCCTGGAGACTCGAGGTTCTTCGGGCTGCTGCACCTCAACAGGCTGCACCACTGGCTTCAAGGACCACCCACTGTGGGCTCCTTCTTGGCCCCTGGAAGACTGGGGAAGACCCAGGCCTGGTTGGCAGCTACATTTACCATCTCACCTGCCTGTCCTTTGCAGCCTGGTCTGATTTCACTAAGGCAGCATTTGGCTGGGGAAGCAGATCTCTCAAAACTAGATGCTGGGCCAGGCGTGGTGGCGCACACCTGTCATCCCTGCACTTGGCTGAGGCAGGAGAATCACTTTGAGTTTGAGGACAGCCTCAGCAGTTTAGTGAGTTCGAGGCCAGCCTGAACTACATAGTGAGACCCTGTCTCAACAAAACAATGGGAAGGACTATGTGTGCTTGGGATGTGGCTAGGTGCAAAGGCCCAGGGTTCAATTCCCAGTACCACACAAAAAGAAAAATAGGGCCGGGGATTTAGCTCAGTGGTTCTGGCTCCTGCCGCGCAAGCACAAGGGCCCAAGTTAGATCCCCCCTCCCCCGCCAAAAAGAAAAATAAAGTACTTTTTTAGCATAGCCTCTGCAATGTAATTATTCATTATCTGAAATTTGAATTTCACTGTGCATCCTGTTCTGTTTTGGTACCAGGGATCAAACTCCTTGTGCTTCTGAGGCAGGCACTGAAACCACTGAGCTAAATCCCCAGCCCCTGCGTCCTGTATTTTATCTGGCAATTCTTCCAAAGCTACATTTGAACTATGTTTTATAATCTGAATCTCTGCAAATTCAAGTTGTGTGTATATGGGGGGGATGGTGGAGAAGACATTTAAATGAATCCTATAGTTTTTTTGTTTTGTTTTGTTTTAAAGACAGGGTCTCACTATGTAGTTCAGGCTGGCCTTGAACTCACAGTGATCCTCCTGCCTCAGCCTCCCAAGTGCTGAGATTACAGATATGTGCTACCTACCACATGTTCAGCTTATCTTTATTTATTTTTGAGACAGGATCTGATAAACTGCTAAGTTTCTCAGCCTGTACTTGAACTTGTGATCCTTCTGCCTCCCTCCCAGAGTGCTAGGATTACAAGCATATGCCACTGCGCCTGGCAAAATATCTTGTTATAAATAGCTTACATAAATACACTAATGGAAAAAAAGTCTTTAGCCAACAGACGGGAGGGGCTGGGGATGTGGCTCGGTGGTACAGCACTTGCCTAGTGTGTGTAAATTCTAGATTCAATCCTTAGTATCCTCCTGAACCCCCAAAGACAGGATTATCAGTGTTTTACCCCCTCAGATTGTTCACACTCTGCATCTGCTGACCACATGATTAGGGACAATCTTATTGGAGGGCAGCTGGTGACCTTAGATGTGGCAGTTTCTTCACTGCGCTCCACCAGAGAGTGAGATTCGTGCGTGGGTGGCTTCTATATAATTAATGCGCTCTGTGTAGTACAGAGTCTCTGGGTGGCTTAATGCCAAACAGTGCCTGCGCACACACTGGGGACGCCCTAGAGGCCCCATCACCCTCACCCCGGGGACCTGCCAAGCGGTACGGTGTGGCTGCTCAGAAGCAGGCAAGTAAACCAGTGAGATGCCTGCCGCTATGAATTTCCCTTTGCAAACCAGGTCTAAAGAAACACCTCCAAAGACAAAAATTGTGTGGGCTGGGGATATAGCTCAGGGGCAAGAGTTCTTGCCTAGCATGTGCAAGGCCCTGGGTTCAATCCCCAGTACTGTGGGGGGAAAAAAAGAAATCACTCCGAGAGACATCCGCAGTAGCTGACTTACACCACGAAGGAAAACTGAAGTGGGCTAAAGGCCTATCTATAAAAAAAGGTAAAAGATGACACAGTAAGAGGACAGCAGGACAGGTCACAGTTCACTCCTGCACTCACTGACTCCTCAGTAAATGCCGTTGCCCACTCAGTCTGTGGCACAAGCCTTCAGCCAGATCCTGAACACAACAGATGAACAGGACCCAGGTTTTTTGTTTTGTTTTGTTTTTTTGGTACCGGGGATCGAACTTGGGACCTTGTGCTTGCAACGCAGGCAGAACCACTGAGCTAAATCCCCAGCCCAAGGACCCAGTTTTTAAAAATAACTTTATTTTATCTTGCCCATCCCCCCTCAATCCTCCTCCCCATGTACAAGTTTTGTTTCCATTTTCACTTTTTTGTCCCTTCCTCTCCCCCTCCTCCCTTGTTCCCCTTCCCACTCGAGTATTTTCCTCCCATTTCCCGAAATCCATTACACATCTCAGCCCTTATCTCCACTTTCAGTTTCTCACACCAGAGGAACAATGCGGTGTTTAAACACGTGTGTCCGATTTACTCCACTTCGGAGCATGGGCTCAAGGTCCATCCATGTAGCTATAAATGTGTGAAGCTCATCCCTTTATGGCAGAGTAAATCTCCACTGTATAGAAATACGTCTTTATCCGCTCGTCAGTTGATGGGCATCTGGGCTGTTTCCAAGATTTAACGATCACAAACTGTGCCTCTATAAACGTGGGTATGCGCAGATCACTGTGGCATGATGCTTTTAATTCTTCCGGGAATACAGCAAGAGGGAGAGCTGGGTCAAGTGGAACCTCTAGTTTTAGTGCTTTGAGAAATCTCCACACTGATTTCCAGCGTTGCACCAGTCTACACTCCCAACAGTGGAGAAGGGCTCCTTTTCCCCACCTTCTCCAGCATTTGCTATTGTTTATTTATTTTTTATTTTTTTGTACCGGAGATGGAACTAAGAACCTTGTGCTTGTGAGTTAGGTGTAGGCACCACTGAGTTAAATCCCTGGCCCAGTTGATTTCTTGATAGCAGCCACTCTGTACTGGAGTGAGATGGAATCTCAGCATTGTTTTCATTTGCACGTCATGAGTGATCAGCGATGTTGAACATATTTTCATTTTTTGCCATTTTTAATTCATCTATGAAGTGTCTTTTCATTTCAGATCTCCATTTTTGAACAGGGTCTGTAAATGTGGGGGGGTCTGACTTTGAGTTCTTTATATATTCTACATTAGTCCTTTGTCAGATGAACAGCTGGTAAAAAATTTTCTAATTCTGTGGGTGGTCTCTTTACTCAGTGGTTTCTCTTGCTGTGAAAAGCTTTTTTTTTTTGTACTGGGGATTGAACTCAGGACCTTGTGCTTGTGAGGAGGTGGTGGAACCACTGAGCTAAATCCCTGGTCCATAAAAGCTTTTTAATAAGATGAGGTCCCAGTTGTTGTTGACTCTTTTTTTGTTTGTTTGTTTTGGTTTTTTGACACAGTGATCCTCCTGCCTCAGCCTCCCGAGTGCTGGGACTACAGGCGTGCGCTACCACGTCCAGGTGTTGTTGATTCTTTGTAGTATCGCCTGTTTGTGAAGTCTTTGCCTACTCCTATATCCTCAAGCTTTCTACTTATTCTTTCTCCCGGCAGATTTAGTGTTTAATATTTAGATCTTTGATTCATTTCAATTTTAGATTAGCGTGTGGTAAAAGATATGGGTCTAGTTTCAATCTTTGGCAAGTGGAAAGCCAGTTTTTCCAGCACTATTTATTAAAGAGGCTACCTTTCTTCCAGTGAAGCTGTTTGGCTCCTTTTTCAAAGATAAGGTGGCTGAATGTCTGGAGTTGTTTCTGCATCTTTTAATCTGTTCCACTGATCTTCAGGTCTGTTCTTTTGCCAATATTATGCTTTTATCACAGTAGCTTTGTAGTATAGTCATGGATTGTGATACCCCCTGCCTTGCTTTTGCTATTCTAGTCTCTTCTGGTTCCAAATGAATTTTAGGATTGTTTTTTCTAATTCTGTGAGACATGCTATTGGAATTTGATTGGGATTGCACTGAATTTGTATAACAATTTTGGAAGTATGGCCATATATGTACTATATTGGTTCTTCTAATCAAGAACAAGGGCTATCTTTCCATTTTCTGATATCCTCTTCAATCTCCTTTTTCAGAGTACTGTAGCTTTCAACATAGAGGTCCTTTACTTCCTTTGTTGGATTGATTCCTAGGTTTTCAGTTTTTTGGGATGCTATCATGAGAGGGATTGTTTCTCTAATTTCTCTGTGAGTCTGTTATTCTTGTACAGAAAAACCATGATTTTTTGAGTGTTGGCTTTGGATTGAGCTATGCCACTGAATTTGGTTATCAAATCTAGTAGTCTTTTTTTTTTTTTTTTTGTTACCAGGGATTGAACTCGGGACCTTGTGCTTGCAAAGCAGGTGGTGGAATCACTGAGCTAAATCTCCTGCCCAAATCTAGACATCTTTTGGTGTAATTTTTGGGGTCTTCTATGTAGAGTATCATGTCATCTGTAAATAATTTTAACTTCTTTTGCTATCCTTATTCCTTTTATCTCTTTTGTCTAATTACTCTGGCTAGTGTTTCCACAACTATATTGTACAAGATTGGTGAGTAGACATCCTCATCTTGTTCCTGATTTTAGAGTGAAAGCTTTCAGGTTTTATAGGACCCAGTTTAGTAAGAAGCTCCAGTGGATTCCCAGGTTCACAGATGACCACAGTGCAGGTTGTGTTCACAGAGGAGTATACAGAAAGCCCAGCTGCTGGCAGCACAGGCTTATAATCTTGACTACTCAGGAGGATGAGGTAGGCAGGAGGACTCCAAGTTTGAGGTTAGCCTGAGCAATTCAGCAAGACTGTCTTAAAAAATCTTTCAAAAAGCAGAGAATGCTGGGTGCAGCAGTACACACCTATAATCCCAGCACTCGGGAGGCTGAGGCAAGAGGATTGCCATGAGTTCAAAGCCAGCCTGGACTACATGAGTCTGTCTCAAAGTACTAAAAAAAAAAAAAAAAAAAAAAAAAAAAAAAAGGAAAAAGAAAAAAGCTGGGAATATAAATATGGCTCAGTTGTAGAAGATATGCCCAGCATGTATGAGGCCCTGAATGTGATCCCACCCAGAACTGAGAGAAAAGCAAAACAAAACAAAACAGACACCCAGCTCCAAGAAGTTGCCACAAAATCCACCTCAGAGTTCCAAAAAGGCAGCTCCAAACAGGATCTCAGGAGTAGGAAGTCCTGGCCAGAGAAGGACAAAGGACCATCCAGGAGGGTGAGTGTAAGCAGAGGCAGGATGGTGCGGGAGTACGGGGAGTTCTTGCTGGGACACAGGATGAGTGGGCCAACAGCCCCCAGAAGGGCCTAGGCTGTGGCCCACAAGTGACCATGTGATAGAGAACTTCATGTTTGTCTGTGGTGTTGTTTGGGCCATAATTTGGAGTAGACTTGAGGGGCAGAAAACCAAGAGCTCTGGGAGTGAAGGAGAGTGGCAATCCGCAAAGAGAGCACAGAGGCAGGCCTCACTGTGGTCAGCATGTGCTGGGTACCAGCATGCCCAACAGACCTGCCAAATTCAATCCAGGACACCCGGCAAAAAAAAAAATTGCCTATGTAGCCCAGGCTGGTCTTGAACACAACAATCCTCCTGCCTCAGCCTCCAGAGTGCTGGGATTACAGGTGTGCACCACCACATGTACCACCACGCCCGGCCAAGGTACCACTTTTGAGAAGCTGAGCCTTGAGAATAGGTAGCAGCCAACGAGATGCTTGCTAATTAACTTTTATCGTGTGTGTACATACATAGTGGCAGTGAGGATTGAAACCAGGGCTCCACTGAGCTGCATCCTTTTTTTTTTTTTCAACTTTTTTGGTACCAGGGATTGAACCTGGGCCTTTGCGCTTGCAAGGCAGGCAGTGAGTGGAACCACTGAGCCAAATCCCCGGCCCTTTTTTTCAATTTTGAGACAGTCTCATGACATCACCAAATTGACCAGGCTGGGCTTTGATTTGATTTGTAATTCTCCTGTCTCGACCTCCCATCCCAGGGTGCTGGGATTACAGGGCTGTGCCATCATGCCCAGCTTCGATAGTTGGGCACCATTACTCACCATAAAATGAACACAACCCATTTAGGATGGAGAAAACAGGATCTAGAGGACTAGATCAATGCCACAGCAGAAAGGCTGGCTCTGGAGAGGCAGGAAAAGAGGGATGTCGGGGGAGAACATAAGGGCCTTGCTTTCTTTGGAGGACTGGGAGGCACAGACGAGTGCAGATGATGAGATGGACAGGAGGCTGGTCAGTGCTGCCTGCATGAACATCCCTGCACCTTACCTCAGACCACGTTGGGGAGTTTAAAGAAGTCCGAATCTCTGGCCAGCTCCCCAGGGGTTCCTGCAGCACCCACTCCTGTTTAGTGTCTAGCCTGGGCCACTGTTTGAGGGCTGCTGGCTCCTTCAAAGGAGCCTGAAAGGGAAGGGGGTGCAGGGCTGGGCTGCGGAGGGGATGGTCCCAGCAGCTCCCTGGGCACCTGGAGATCTTAGCAGCCCCACCCATACCCATTTCTCCCCTCCTGGCACAGGAAGGCTTCATTCCTGAGGACAGGATGGGTGACAAGACAAGAAACAGACCGAGGGTAAGGGACAAGGATTTACCACAGCACCATTGGAAAGCTAGACTGGTAGCTATAGAGGGACATTCCTGGCGATGTGCCCCAAAGGCTTGGCTTCCCTGGGACTCACACCCTCAGCTTCAACTTTGACCTAATAAAAGCAACAGTGTATGAACAGGCAGAAACCCTTTGATCAGGTTTGTTTATTTGAAAATGAAACCCATTTCCCTACAATGCAGTAGTTCCTTGGGGACAGAAAAAGGTTTAGTGATGAGATCAACTCAGTGGCACCTGGCTCCTCTAGATTCTGCAGGACTAAGACAGTGCCCCAGAGTTCCACCCCCCAGCCAGCAGGGACCAGAGTTCCTCAGGTGTGATCCAGTCAAGGCCAAGTGGGCTTACCGGTGAAGGCGTCCACGTGCAGTGAGTAGAGGCCTTGAACAGACACCGGGCTCCTCCGCCCCACCAGGCCTGCATGGTCCCTTCCAATACGTCAGCAAGGGCTCATCTTCCCCTGCCTTCTGCCATCCACCCACCTCTCCACTCTTCTCAGCCCCTACTTCCATGATCTTGTAAACACCAACAGTGCAATAGCCTGGGCTGGGTGGGAGTTGTGGTGGGTAGGGCAGTGTTTAAACCACACCTTCCACCAGTACCAAGGAAAGGGAAAGGAGGAGAAATGCCCCCCGACCACCACTCCAACTCCCAGCACCCCCTTGGGCAGGTTCCTGAGGGAAAGTATTGTAAAGAAGCTAAATCGGAAAGCTACCAATCCCTGCAGCTTTCTCATCGGCAGGAAAGCTGCCTGCAACATTACAGAACAGGTGCAAAATGTGCCTGGGACTGGGACTGGGACCTTTATTCTTCCAGGGCCAAAGAATGTGCTTCATTTTTTTTTTTTTTTTTTGGTACCAGGGATCGAACTCAGGTCCTTGCACTTGCGAGGCAGGCGGCAGAATGGCTGAGCTAAATCCCCGGCCCTGTGGTTCATTTTTAAAGAAATGGGTATGGGTGACAAGAAGGCTCTCCCTTTGCCCCTGGGCCAGTGGCCAGCAAAGTGACTGACCGGGCACCATGCAATGCATCCTCATTGTCCCAAACAACAACCCAGCAATCACAGTTATCAACACCTCAGCAGCAGAACACAGACATGTAACACACAGCTCCAAACTAGGAAATATTTACAGTCAGGACCCAGTTAAGGCTCCCTCCCTTATTCGACACTTGCACTCCAGCTGAGCAAGGTGGTGCACCCAGCTCTCTGGGAAACTGAGACAGATTGTAAATTTGAGCCCAGCCTGGGCAATTTAGTCAGACGCTGTCTCAAAGTGTAATAAAAATAAAAGAGGGCTTCATAGCCAAGGCAGGTTCAATCCCCAGTATTGCAAAACACAACAAAAACCAAAACTTGAGCCCCACAGGCTGACTGTCCAGCTTCTTCCTTGAGGGCAGCACAGTCCCCTAGCCCGTGAAGCCTCTCCTAGACTGTCCACAGAACCCAGCCCCTCTTTACACTGATGGGTTCGTGACTGGAAAACAGGCCACTAATGGAGGGCAGATCCAGAGGGACAGGTGGAGGCCAGCCAGATTTTACGGCACCTATTTCTCTTGGGGCTGGTTCAGAGCAGCCACAGTCCCCAATCAGAGCAGAAGTGGCCTTTCAACCCAATGCTTTGGGGAGACAGGAAGGCGATAGTAAGGGGCCAGGAGGGCCCTATTTTCTGAAACTTGACACTACCGCCAGGGCTGCCTAAGGCCAGAGAGGTAGACCGGCCTCATATGCAGAGGGACTTCACTGAGTATGCTATGTACAAGGAGAGGAGAGGAGGGTCTGGCCAGGTTGTACCCTCACTCCACCTCATTCAACCAGGAGATCAAACTGCTCAGCAGCTTCAAACTCAGCATTCATGGCCGCGGCCCACTCATCCAGCTCCGACTTCTGGGGAAGAGAAATGGAGCCAGGTGAGCAGGGAGGGGCCACATTGGCAAACCTATCACCCACACCCTGCAGGTGCTGCCTTCCCCCAAAGCCAGAGCTGAGCCATGCGTGACGGCAGGAAAGACTATGCCCCTCCCTCACTCACCAGTATCTCTGGAACCTTTTTCTTCTTTCGCTTCTCTTTCATAACTTGAGGAGAGATTCCCGGGAGATTCGTGTCTGGGGACCAGAGCTTTGCAGGGACCTTGGGGATCTCGGTTAACTTTGAATGCAGCACAGGTGAGACTCCAGACAAATCCTCGGGGTCCTCAAAGCCAAAGCAGGACCGGAGGCCAGGGGTGGAGGTGGAGGCACATCCAAGAGTGTCCAGCCGGCTATAGGAGCGCCTGACTTTCTTAGACATTTCCACGTATCTGGCATCCAACTCTCCTTCCCTGGAGCAGGACTGGCTATTCAGTGGGTACAGCACAGGAGTGGTAGCAGGGGTGGCAGGGACACTGCATGTCTTGAAAAGGTCCACTTTCTTTGGTTCCTGGACAGGATTGTTTTCTTTCCCCAAGAAAAAAGCAATCTGCATAAGGACAGTGAGGAGAACACATTCCTGTTACACAGCTGGACTCCTTACTTCCAAAAAGGACTCAGGAGACTCAGGTTGGAAAAAATGTTCCACAAAACAATTTTTCTTTATGTATTTACTTCAGTACTGGGTATCAAACACAGGGACTCATACATGCTAGGCAAGCACTACCAATGAGCTGTACCCCCAAATACTTTTTTGTGGTACTAGGAATTAAACCTAGGGACTGCACTGGGCTACATCCCCAGCCCATTTTATTTTTTTTGAGACAGGGTCTTGCTAAGTTGCCCAGGCTAGCCTTGAATTTGTTATCCTCTTGCTTCAGCCTAAGTAGCTGGCACTATGGGTGGGTGCCACTGAGCCTAGCTAGATAAACACTTTTATTTTATTTATTTATTTTGAGACAGGGTCTCACTATGTAGTTGAGACTGCCCTGGAACTCACTATGTAGCCCAGGCTGGTAAACTCAGAGATCCTCCTGCCTCAGCCTCCCAGAGTGCTGGGATTACAGGCGTGTGCCACCACGCCCGGCAGATAGTTTTCTTCAGATAGTTTTCTTTTTAAAAGTGTTTATCTAGCCGGGCATGGTGGCGCACACCTGTAATCCCAGCACTCGGGATGCTGAGGCAGGAGGATCGCTGAGAGTTTGAGAGACCAACCTGGGCTACACAGTGAGTTCCAGGGCAGTCTCAACTACATAGTGAGACCCTGTCTCAAAAAACCAAAAACAAAAAAAAAACAAAAAAAAAACAAACTATCCATCGCTGCTTCTGAGTCCACTCTTGTGATACCAGAAAACTAGCTACATCTAGTGCTAGTGCTATCCCTGTTCCAAATGTGACTGTAATCCAGCCACCTCTCCAAACATAAACCCCCATGTCCCATCTAGACCAGCTCAGAAATCTAACCGTTTTGCCTACTTCTAGCCTCACCCTCTACGGTCCATTTACCACACAGCTGCTGAAGATTTTCCCAAAAAGTCTATTCGCTCAGTAAAATCATTGGCCACCTGACTGTGCCAGGCACTGTACCAGGCAGTGGGAGTATAGAAAGAAATAAGAGAAAACCTCTGTCACTATAGTGCTTCCATTCTAGAGGGGAAAATAGACAATAAGGAAGACCATGAATTGTTGTTTGGTTTTTTGCCTGTTTCTTTCAAGTGTTTTGGTACTGGGGATTGAACTCAGAACCTTGCACTTGCCAGGCAGGCATGGTGCCACTGAGCTAAATCTCCAGCCCAGGAAGACCATGGCTTGTGACAGAGGTATTAAGTGCTACAGAAATAAACGGAAGAGGATCAAGTACTGCAGTGGCTGGAACTCACTGGGAAAGTAACATGTGAGCTACAAATGGAAGCTGGTGAGAGACTGGGTTGTGTGGACACCAGAAGGAAGTGTTCCAAGTAGCAGAAACAGAAGGAGCAAAAGCCTTGATGCTAAAGGGCACCAGTCAGGGTCAAGGAACAAGGAGGTCATAAAGGAGATGAAGACAAGGTTTGAAAGGTAATGGGGGTTGGGAGGTAATAGGGTTATAGGCCAAGCTCAGGATTTTGCTGAGACCAAGGGAGCCACAGCAAGGCTGGGGACAGTGAAGACTTAACCTGACACATGCATGCAGAGCTTCCTGTACTGATTGCCTGTAAAACTCTTCTCAGCTCAGGGGCTTCCTTGGGGAGACTGCACCCTGCCATGGGCTCAGGGACAGCCTCTCTCATCTCTGGTAATCTGTCACACTGACCTTTTATTTCCTATAGAGCAACATCACTATGGATATCGGCCTGTGTACTGGTTGACTCAGTCACCCCAACTGGAACTGGAACTTGCTGACCGCAAGAGTCATCGTCTAGCTGACTTCACATTGGGAGTGCTCACTAAGTACTGAACTGATGTACATGAAACTTGGCATTGAGCTTTCTGGAGGCCAAGGCAAGGCTAGAAGTAGAACAAATCAACTACGGTCTAATATCCAGGAAGTAAACTGGTTTATTAAGAGACATTCCCTGGCCACAAGCTCTGGAGAATCTGCCACATGGATTCAGTAAAAGGGATGCTCAACAGAATGGGAACAACCTTGACTCCTTCTTCCTCATCCTTTAAGGCCAAGCAGTCACATAGGCTCTGGCAACTTTAGCCTGATCTCAAGAATCAGTCAAGCTAAGCCATGATGCCTGTTATCCCAGCAGTCAGGAGGCTAAAGCTGGAGGATAGCCTCATTTGAGGCCAGCCTGGGCAACAGTGAATTCAAGGCCAGCTTGAAACTACATAGGGAGACCTTGTTTCAAAACAAACAAACAAGCCGGGCGTGTTAGTGCATGCCTGTAATCCTAGCACTCGGGAGGCTGAGGCAGGAGTATTGCTGTGAGTTTGAGACCAGCCTGGGCTACATAGTGAGTTCCAGGTCAGTCTCAACTACATAGTGAGACCCTGTCTCAAAAAAACAAAAACAAACAATCAATCAACAGAAGTCTCAGCTTGCAAGGTATTTAATTTACAGAAGGAAAGACATCAAACATGTGAGCACATAACCTATCAGATGTTGATAAGGCCTAAGAGAATTACACAGAGAAATGTGAAAGTAATTGGGTAAGAGTACTCAGGGAGACAAGCACAGTAGTGCATGCCTGAAGTCCCACCTACTTGCGAAGCTAAAACAGGAGGATCAGCAGTTCAAGGACATTCCAGCCAACTTAGCAAGATCCTGGCTCAAAATACAAAAAGTAAAATAAAAAGGGCTGGAGATGGAGCTCAGTGCTCCCTAGGTTTAATCCTCAGTACTGGGGGAGGCAGGCAGGGAGATTGGGTAGGGAAGGTCTTTGTGAGGATGTTTCCTCTGAGCCCAGTCCTTGCTCCTGTGCGAAGGAATAGTCATGTTGACAATGGGACGAAAAGGGGCACCCCACCTTAATGAGGTCCTAAGTCCCTTCAGACTCCTGGAGTTCACATCCTCCCACCTGGTCTCAGGGCCCTAGGGCAGCCATTTATCCACACAGCACTCCCATCTCACCCAGGGATCTTTTTATAACACTCGACCTTGATTGGGTCACCATCTTGGTCAAAACTTTACAAAAGTAGTGGCAGAGCACCTACTTAGCAAGGACAATGCCTTGGGTTTGGTCTCCAGCACCACACACAACAAAACATTTCCAAAGGCTGCCCACAGACAAGAAAATGAAGCTGGAGCCTGTGAATGTGGTTTTCATGCCTCATCAGTATCTGCTCTGGCCTTGCAAGCTCCCTCCTCGGATTAGATCTGGTGCATACACACCACCAAACAAAACTGCCGTTTCCCAAACTTCATGATTTTTCTTTGCACTCTAGATCTCTTCCTGGAGCATGGCTTCCTTTGCCCAGAACCCCTACTTGTTTTAAGAGACTTGGTTTAAAGGTCTCTTCTGTGAAATATCCCAAGCCAACTCATCTCAGTTAGGTACTATCATGGCACCTAGCACTTCCTTTCTGTAGTCCTTGGCAATCACTAGGTCATTTGTCTTACTCCATATTTGTTAAGGAGCTTTTAAAAGGTAGCACTTCTCACTCTTTAGGCTTTCAGATTTTCTATTAATAAACTGTTCTTGATAAGAAGTTCTACTAAAACTATAAAAGCACCACAGGGCCGGGGATTTAGCTCAGCGGTTCGGTGGCCTGCCTTGCAAGTGCAAGGACCCGAGTTCAAGCCCCAGTACCAAACAAGCAAACAAAAGCACCACACATAAAAATTATAACAACCGTAAATAAGAACTGAGGACAGCTGGGTGTAGTGGTATATGCCTGAAATCCAAGAAGTCTGGAGGCTGAGGCAGGAGGATCACAAACTTAAAATCAGCGTGGGCCACTTAGCAAGGTCCTGCCTCAAAATAAAGGCTAGAAGCCGAGCATGATGGTGCACACCTGTAATCCCAGCACTCGGGAGGCTGAGGCAGGAAGATCACTGTGAGTTCCAGACCAGCCTGGACTACATAGTGATTTCCAGGTCAGTCTCAACTATATAGTGAGACCCTGTCTCACAAAAA